AAGATGTGGTTTCTCTTAACACTCCTTTCCTCCACTGTTCCAAATGTGGGTATCAGTTACAGTATTATTAAATCTTCCTGATTTAATGTGAGGGAGGTGTTGCTCTTTAGTCCGGCACTTACTACAATAAACATGTTTTCTTTTCTTTTTAAAATTCAGCTTAACAGAGCGAGGCTTCTGCTCCGACTTTTTTCCAGCACTGGCTTGATGGGACAGTAGCGCTCAGTCCCAGAGAGACTCTGCTACTGTTTTCCTGTTGGCAAAGGTTGGGAAACAGTCAGAAAGTGGTAAGAAGCAGGTTCCCCTCTGTTCGTCCAAAGTTTCCCATCTGCTGATCCTTGTTGAACATAAGTGTTTAACGAGCACTTTGTTCCTGTTGCCAAGCAGCAGATTGAAAGACGATGTTATTTTCATGCACCATGATGTCATCATGGTGCAATACTGGCGTTGCAAACTCTTGTGATATTAGCGCACGTCTAGAGTAATTTAATGTTTCTGTCTTTCCTGGTTAGACAAGCTGAACACAAATCAAAGGAGCAGAAGCTCAAAGCCAAAAGCATCAGCACCCTAGCCATTAATTCCCAGTTCTGAATGTGAAAGGTTTTCAACCACAGTTTCCCCAAAAGGTTGGGATTGTTCATGCCATGTACATTTTCTGGGGCTGGAACTCTTTTCTGTCCCACAGATGCTGCTGGGCTGCAAAGAGAACTGGGTGCAGTCCAGCTGCAGGACAACAAACACCATCCTCGGTTGCTTCTCCCCCGCTCCTTTTTAAAATGAAAAATAAAATCATTGCTTCACTTTCTTTCGGGCCATGCAGAGAGCAGCAGATGTGGCCATCATCGCCCTAAGCCAGCACTCTGACCTCAGCAGAGCAAAGGGCAGGCAGCTGCTGTGACAAGTGGATGGGATGGGGGTGGAGGGGGGGGATAGTGGGAGTCACTTCAAAGCCCTAAGTTGTTGGCGATCTTCAGAGGCGAGTAGGGCCAAGAGGAGGACAGGCTGCTCAGGGAGGGTCTGGCTCTGCATCGTCTTCTGGGGATTGTGCTCTCAAGCTGTGGCATAAGGGGAAAGGGTTTAGAAAGAGCCTGGCCTGTACTCTGCCCTTATCCCTGCCAGCCAGCATCCATTCAGAGCAACCCAGATCCCTTTGCAACACAACAGCAGCAGCCTTCATGTGCTCAAGAGCTTCCCAAGGCACCTTTGTCCACCAGGGATCCCTGAGAGAGGTCCCTCCTTTCCACAAAAATCTTATGGCAAAAGGCAGCCCATACATCAAGCCATGTGAACAGAGAATGAAATGCCACAGAATAAGAGCCGGGCAGGGGGGGGGGGAGAGACAAAGTCAGTCCTGACCAGGTCAAACCACAATGCCTTTGGAACTGAAACTACACTAGGCTACACCCCTCGGCAAGAGATAATCCAAGGAGCTTTGTTAAACATTAATCAAGACCTGCACATCTAAGCACAACCCCGTTCATTGAATCTAATGGGTGCACTGGCAGTTCTGAGTCTCTTTGCTCTGGAGCAGGCTTTTAGAAAACAGTAGGTCTGCTCTGGAAGGGTTGGTTTGATGATCACAGCTGGACTGAGGCTCTGCATTTAAAAGGATGTCATGGGGAAGGAGGGGACACTGTTTATCAGGCCAGGAAAGAAAATAATAGGTTTAAACAGCAGGAATGTAGATTTAGCGAGGGGAGACCTTGCTAAATAAGGCAGGTTAAGATGCAGAAAACTAAGGCAGGTTTAACTGCAGAAAAAGCTACCTAAATGGTGTTGTGGGATGTCTTTTCTCAGGTCTCGAGAAAATGCTGGACTCGCACTGACATTGGCATTTTAACTTAAGAAACAGAGCCAAGCAAGATGACCACTGTAATTGGGCTTGATATCATTAAAGACATCACATGGAGGCTTTCAACTATACTATCCTGAAGCATCCGTTTTCAGAATTAAAATAAAATAGATGCAGCCCGTGTCCTGGTCTCTTGAATGAATGTGTGGCTCTGGATCAAATGACCTACTGGGATATCTCCCAACTTTTCACAATTGATCCTAAAGTCACCTTTTAGTCGAAAGTCACCTTTTACCAATGCTGTCATTGTGTGATGGAAAGTTGATTTTTACATGCACATATGTACATAATAGTCAGAAGAGCTGGTGCATTCAAGTTACAGAAGCAGGAAAAAATGCTTGAAGACTACAATCCTTTGTGAACACTTAAGTGGGAGAAAGGCCTGCTTTGGAGTACATGCTCACTGGATCAAGTGGTGCATGCCACTTGTGAAAATGACTTCAGAGTACTAGGTGGCAAATTTGGCTCTCTGGTTCCAAGAGCAGTGTTACTCATACCTTGAATATGCTGGAGACTTCTACCTGACTCCTACAAAATGCAATCCTGTTTGACACCAGTGGAAGGAAATTTAAACCAGCGGCAGATCGAGCACTTTGCCAGCTACCCGAGCAATGGCAATTTGGCTAGGCATTTCAGCTTATTGAATCCCTGGGCAAAGCTGCTTTGCACCAGGTGTGATTACAGCCCAACTGGCATGAGCTGAAGGTGACAAGCCTTTCTTTTAGGTAAGCAATGACCCCTTATTCATTACAGAAAGAACACTCCCTGGCACCAGAGGGTGGTTTAGCTTGCCTGCGGATGTAGCCATGCACTTCTGGATTACAGCAGCTGCTGGGTATGAATGTTATCTGTGCCCCTGGAGACAGCATTGCATCCTGTGATTTGCAAACTGCACAGTTCGCAGAGGGGCATCCACAGCCAAGCCGTTATGTTCAAACAGATAATTGGGGCCTTTACACGAAGGCTCCTAGTGCAACCGCCAACTCAGGAGAGGAAATTAAGGGAGCACAGCTATTTGCTGGGGAAAGCCAAAACACAAGCCAGCATCTTTTCCATTGCAATTGCCGGCTCAGTCACCCTGTGGCTGGCTCCGTCTCTGCCTAGAGGAGGATCAGAGAGTCTTCCTTCTCCTTCGGGAAGCTGCCAGCAGCCCTTGTCTCTCTCCCATCCTGGATCCAAGTGGCTCTCAGCAGGCGAGCCCCTCCTCCTTCCCCCTATCCAATTATAACCAGCTTTCTAATCATTTGTTTGGAGCTGAAGCCAGGCGCCTGTGGCTGAGCTCAGGGGTGGGAGAGAAAGGGGGGCACACGAGGAGGGGAGTGGGGGTGGTGCTTTCCCCCATCTCTTCTTTTTCCTGGATTGCTGCTGCTGTTGCCCGCAGAGTGGCTGAGTTTTCTCTTGCCTGTTCCTGCATGGCCTATGCCTGCCCTTGGATGGGTACTGCCACTCTGGCTGGGGAGGAGCAAAGGGCCTGCTCTTTGGGAGTGGGAGAGGAGGGCTGCTTGTGGCTCTGGAGTCTTTCCTTGGACCAGCCTGCTCTGGCTACTGCTCACTACCCTTAGGGCCTCACCCCAGTGGGACATGTGGGCTCCCAGCCCAGCTGCTTCCACCCTTACTAATTTTTCACTCTGTGATGGAGAGCCTGCTCTAAGCATCACCCTGGCTTTACAGCCAGCTAATGGGCCATAGTCATTGTGGGTGGGTGATTTTAGACTCCTTTAAATGAAAAAAAATGCCTCCAATTTAATAAACACCCATGCTGGCAGGGGGTGGTGTAAAATGGGAATGGAAGTCCATATTCCCCACACTGTTTGTCCATGTGACTGTTAGGGCTTGTTATTCCCCTTCCTGAGTTGCATAGCCCATCATGGAGGATATAGTCACTGTAAAAAGCAGACTTAAAAAGAACATCATGACTTTGCAGGGTTGCCAGATTTTTTATTGGCCTCTGCTCCTGTACCATTAACAGCAGCTTGCCCTGCAAACATTAGCAGGAGGTCATGCTTAGCTCTTCACATTTCTGCAGATCAAACTGCTGCTAGAGTACAGGAGCTGTCTAGGCAAATTATGCATCTGATCAGTTGGCAACCTTAACTGCAAGAAATCTTTTGGGGGATGGAAACCAGTCTTCTATATATTGTTAGTCCTAATGGATCCATAAAGAAGTAAAGCAAACTTTCCAGGTGGGGGAAGACTCTTCAAAAGGGTGTGAGACACCATTGGCTTTAGTATGTGTGAACGAAGACTTGCTGTGCCTAATAATGTGGGTGGGTGGAACAAGCTCATAATGTGACTGATACTGCTGTGAGCTACTGTATGAATGCCATGGGAAAGAGTGTGCAGATCCCCTTCCCTGCAGTTCCTGAACTGCCACTTGACTTGCCAACCCCTGGCATATAGGGTTGCCAATTTTTTTGACTGGTCCCTGATCTTGTGACATTAACGGCTGCTTGATCTGCAGACATTAGCAGATTATCATCTTCAGCTTTGTCTGCTAGTTTTTGGCAACCCCACCAGCATACTCCCTTCTGGTATAGTGCCAGCAGAGTCCCTCTTAATGCCATTTCCTCGGCTCTGCAATGGGTTCTCCCTCAGCTTAGGCATCCCATCTGTCGACAGCACACTGCGTTGCCGAGAACCTCTGCCTCCAGGCCACCCAGCGAGGGTCTAGCAAAGCAAAGGGCCTAGCTCTAGATGCTGCAGGCTCAGGGCTTGGATGTGGTCTCTTCCTCTCTCCTCCCCTGCAAGAGGGGCCAGGGCTGGGGCATTGCTCCTGATTTATAGTACATAAGTGCAGTCAAACAAAAAGCCCTTCATGGCAGCGCGGCAAGCTTGCTGCCTCCCTGGTTTCAGCACATACCAGCGTCACCACATCCCTCTGGCCACAACCCCCTTCCCGTGCCCCCCCCCGCCGTGTCCCACAGCTCAGCACAACAGGGAATTGTGCACTGAGACCCTCCATCTACTCTCCGCTCTCCCCAGATGCAAACAGCTAACCCCACCTCGCAAACAAAATACTCACTGCCGCTACACAAGCTCCATATCCCACCCAAACATCAGCCCTCAAATACCAAGCACTCTCCTCTGACTATCCAAACACTTTCTAGGTTGTCAGACCTGCTACTTCCCAAGATGCAGCCAATCACATTTCCTCCTTGAAATACAAACACAAATCTCATATCCCGATCTATCATTCCCTCTCTCCCCCGCCCACCTAAATAATGTTATGGTCCAGCACAAATTCTATGCACCTCTGTCCCCAAACATCTCAAAAGTACCTCTGCTCACACAAATATTCTTTTCAGTGAGAACTCTCTCGCTGCCAGAAAAAACAAACAAACATAAACAAATAAATGTTTTCAGATCTGAAAATGCAGAGCCAGGGGGATCATAACTTTATTGGGACTAAGGCTGCAATTCTATTCCCACTTGTCCTGGTAACTCAATGGAACTTTCTTCTGAGTAGACAAGTATAGAGTTGCCGTAAATAATGTTGACAATACAAGTAAACTTTAAAATAACACAGAATCCTTTGTTTAGCAGGATTTCAAGGAAAAGAAAAAGCTACAAATGAATTTTCATGTGAAAGGGTTGCGCTTGGCTTTGCAGTCCAAGGTGAGATCTCTTTTGGGTTCCATAGACCTTAAGTGTCCTGAAATCCAGTATATGATCAATATTTTATTTCCAAAATGAAAATTGCTGGGGCTGAAACCTACCTTGACACCGTTCCTTTGACCTTGGATGTATGGAGGGCAAAGTACTCTGCACAGGCTCAAAGACACTCCTCATAACTACTTCACAGGCTCAAGGACTGATAGGTTCTTCCTTTTCTCTACACGTTAAGGGTACACCCAATCAGAAACGGGTCCACAAACTGCTTTAGTCACCCTGTTGTTTTACTGGGAAAAGTACAGGACAAGTGTGACCATGTACTCTTTGACAATAGCTTGTGAAACCATCAGGCATGCTATTTTTCTGCATAGGTTGTTTGGACTGGACACACAGTCCTACCTGCAAGCCAAATTCCAGAACATGATGCTAGGTGGTTGCTGTTTGGCTCTGTAGCATCCCACAGGGTTCCATCTTGTCTCCCATGTTTTACAACATCTACATGACAATGCTGAATGAGGTCATCTGGAAATTTGGAATCAGGTACCATGGAGTACGTAGCTGATACCTATTTCTCCTTTACATCTGATTTAAGTCAGGCAGTGGAAGCGCTATATCAGCATCAGGCATCAGCAATGGGACTGGATGTGGCCTAATAAACTGGCAGAGAGAGCATTATGGGTCATTGTCTCAGAGAAGATGCATTCTGGACAGCGTTTGACACATGAGTGTTTGATCAGTGCTTGACAAATCCAGCTGTGTCACTGGAAGCTCTTTCATGGGATGGAATGCCTTCCACCATCTAAAGCTGGTACAGTCCATCCCAGATAGAGAAAACTTAGGCAAGTTAAGCCATGTGCTGCAAACCTCCAGATCAGACTGCTGTAATGTGTTGCAAATGCCTTCTTTCCTCCCTAGCTAGAGCTCAAGGTAGATAGTTCTCCATCCTCTTAATTTATATCTGCAACAACCCTGTGAGGTAGGTTAGGTTGAGATCCTGCGACTGGCCTAAGGTCACCCAGTGAACTTCATGACTAGATGGGGATTTGAACCTTGTCTCCCAGATCCTAGTGTGACACCAGGGGTGCCAACCTGAATAAAATATTGGGGGCGGGGAAGCAAGCCCCGCTCCACATAAGTGTTCACATGCCACACTGCATGCACACCATTTGAATGGCAATGCCCATAAACTGGGGGGCAACCCCCCAAATATTTTATTGGGGGATGCGAAGGGACCTCGACTGCTAGGAGTTGGCTCCTATGTGTGACTCTCTTAATTACTACTCCTTTTAAGCCTCTTGAAGACGGTATGTTTATTTCTCTCTTTCCCCCCAAATGCTGCTGTTGTACCTGCTGTTTTCACTTCCGACATCGTTCTTTCTCGGCTTTATTGATTTCATTTGCGATTGCTGCCTGTGGGCCGCCGCTCTGGAAATGCTTGCATTGACTGGAGGCCGACGGGGAGGAAATAAATCTGCAAAATAAATACCTCAGTCAACGAACCATGCCGGCGCGCCTGCCTGCCTGCTCGCTCGCACATCCCGCCCACGCCTCCTCCTTCCCCCTCCAGGCGCCCGGTCCCCGCGCGAAGGACGAGCCCTTGCTTCCCCTCCGTCCCCCCCTCGAAGGCCTCGGCCGGCAGCCGCGCGGGATTCCCCGCGCTAGGGACGCGCTTGGGCCGCGCAGGCGGGAGGCGGGCTGGCAGCGTCTGGCCGAGGCCTAGCTGAGGATGCTGAAACGCTTGTGTCACTAACCGCGAGAGACACGGCGTCTCCGGCACCGGAGGAGTCGCAGCCAGGCGCCTTGTCGTGCGGGATGGGGGTCGCTCGGAGGGGACTGGCTTCGCCTGCCACACATATGGGGAGGAGGAGGAAGGCCCAGTGCGGGAAAAGCGGGGCGCCAAAGCGGAGAGATTTGGCGTGGGGGCTCTTGATGAAACCCAGACCGACGGTTCTGAAGGACAAAGTTGGGGGTGTTGCGGGTAGGTGGGTAAGGCAGAGAGAAGCTCCATTCTGCGTTTTCTTTGCGCCAAATCGGGGCCCTTGCCCACCACCACTCTACTAGGTCTCCTCCGTGTGCATCGCACAGCGGGATCCTGTGCTCAGTGCTCAGGGATCCTGTGCTTCTTTCTAGGAAGTGTGCTTAGGGTTGCAGCCTCTGCAATGATTGATCTTCTTAGGGCAGGAGTGGGAGGGCATTAGGACTTCCACTCGCTCAGCTCTTCCCTCCCGCTCCAATCCCCAGTAAACAGCTGCAGGCAGAAGTTCAACATATGGTGTATCTCCAGCCTGTGACAACTACACATGACCAATTCCCCCCCACCCCCCGCTTTAGTTTTCGGATGGGGGTGGGTCAGGGAAACAGCCTGAAGGCTGAGTGAGAGGTATGTGACACTGCATGCTTGCAGGGTGAATTGTCATCCCAAAGTAATACAGGGTTCTGGATCTGATCCTCCTCAGGTCAAGCTGTGCTTTTTCTTTGGCAAAGACATTCCAACTCCAAGGGTGTAACTGCAGCTAGGGATTCCTGCAGGCTTCACCTGCAACCACTTTCTGGTACCTTTCCTGTGAAGCTATTCCGAAAGGGGTGCCTTTGAACATGTGATGAGTGCTTCCCTACCACCACTGCTTAAACACAGCCAGCCGGTCCCACATCTGAGATGAAACACTCTCAAGGATGACTTTCTCAGTCTTACCAAGTTACGCCTGTATTGGCTGCCTGCCCATGGTGTTCTGGTTGGGTGCTGGCATAAGGGAGCACAGGGTTTAGCTTTGCATGCCAAAGAGAGCTTGGCAGTGGTGTGTTAAAAGCGCCAGTGTATGGTGGCAGTTACAGACCTGGCTTAACCACATTAGAATTCTCTTTAAACAAAAAACAAAAAAACACACAAAACCCTAGAATTTTTAAAGTAATGAATTTAACTGGATTTTTTCTTTTAAAAAATCAGTACAAAATAAGGATATGGTCATTATTCCACTTTAACTGAAACATAATTATAAGAACATGACCATGTACATATATGAGTATCATAAGTTAGATGTGGCTTTATGCTGGTGTTTCTGTATGTATGCGTATATCTGTATATAAATGCTCCTGTGTGTCATCATGAAAAGGAATAGTGTTTTGTGCGCAGTTGTGTGTGTGTGTGTGTACATCTCTGTTCAAGTATACACATTGTAAGCACAGCACATATAGATGTGTGGTGGTGGCCTAAGTTAGCTTGTGTTTGATGGAACAGCAGAGTGGTGTGTGTGTGTGTGTGTGTGTGTGTGTGTGTGTTTTATTCAGATCAGTATGCAAGGGGAAGGCAGCCTGGAACAGAGTACTGTGTGTGGGGAGGGGGCTAACCACTCAGTCCTGCCCCTGTACAGTAGTGCCTGCCCCCAGCTATGAAAGCCCCCGTGTCTGGCTGCCAAAGTAGCGAGCCTGCCTGGTGCCAACAATATTTCTCTTGGCCAGTGGCCGGGCTTCAGGGAACACAGAGCCCTTGTAGTAGACTCACTCCGGCTGCCTGTGTCCCTGAATCCCACCGGGGTTGCACCTGTAGGTGGAACAGCGGCACTAGAGGGCTCTTTCCTTCTGGAAGTTTCTCTTGGCCTCTTCTGAAACCCATTGTTTTTAGGTGCAGGCTCTCTTTTTTGGTACCCAAGTCAGCCTCCTCATCCCCCATCACCTCATGCCTTTTCATACAGCATGACATAGGGCAGCCACAGCCCTCTGCATCCCAGAGAAGAGACGGCTAGCTCTCAAAGTAGGGCTCAAGCCCCCTGTTGGAGTGGCCAGCACTTTTTCCTGGCAGAGCTCCTGCCTCTAGGCCCAGGGGGGACCACCTTGGTGTGCCCTCCAGATGTTTTGGAGTACAACTCCTACCATCCTTGGCTATTGACCATACTGGCTGGGGCTGATGGAGGTGCAGTCCACAACAGAAGAGGAAAGGGTGCAGGGAGGGAGGAGGAAACAGCTATCCCTGCTCTAGCTGTATTTGGAAGTTGTTTGCTTCTGTATTGAATGATGGGGATGGAGAGGAGGAATGTATTTATTAATTTATTACATTTGTATACCACCCTTTATTCGCAGATCTCAGGGCAGTTCACAACATAAAAATACAATATAAAAGCAAAAAATCCTTTACAAAAACAAGGACAAAGCATACAAACAAACCAGTAACCCCTCCCCCTCCCTTCCAACAAACACGTTTAAAAGGGGTATAAGATGCCTGGTTGAAGAGGAATGTTTTCACCCAGCACCCAGAGATAAATAATGAAGGCACCAGGCAAACCTCTCTGGGGAGAGCATTCTAGAAATTGGGAGCCACTACAGAAAAGGCCTGTTCTTGTGTTGCCACCCTCTGGACCTCTTGTGAAGGGGACACATGAAAAAGGGTCTTATATGACAATCTCAGGGTCCGGGTAGATTCATATGGAGAGGTGGTCCATGCGGTATTGCTATCCTGAGCCAAATGGGGCCATGGTGAGTAGCCCCTGCTGTGCATGCCTTCCCAAAGTCTGCATGTCTGACGTAAATGGAGGAGGCTCTTGTGCATATAATTGTATGCAAGAAGGCTTCATGTTCCAGGGAGGACTTTGAGCACAGTACACACAGGTTTGGGGGACGGGACCGCTTGGCGTGGCCGCACTCCTTGCTCCTGTCTTGTTCAGAATGAAAACGCCCCAATAGGGCTTTTATAGCAGCTGCAAGACAAGCTGAAACCCAGCAGGTGATGCTTTGCATCTCCCAACTGAATTTCTGTTTACAGAAGAGTCCTACTAGGAAATAAACAAAAAACAGTTGGCAACCATATATGCTGTTCTTCTGGGAACCCAAAATGTTTCTCCACATCCTGTCCTTGAACATTTCCATACTTTCTGTCGCTTTGTTCCTTCGGGTTGCTGTAAAAAGTCAAGCCGTTCCTAGAAGCGGCTGTATTTCCATGCATGGTGGTCAACAGGGCTGCCAACTCCCCCCGCCCCTGTGGCAGGCTTCTTGCGCCATGACGGAAACCCCTGGATATTTTTAATACTGACAGTGCTCCCAGTGACTCCACCTGCACAATTTGAAAGGCTGAAGCCCAGGGGTAGGATATCTGGTTAGTAGGCTGAAAGTCCCAGGTTCAATCTCTAGGTTGGATTGGGAATGTTGCCTTGTCTGAAACCCTGGAGAGCGCCTGCCAGTCAGTGTCAACAGTACTGAGCAAGATGGACCATGGTCTGACCTGGAACAAAGCAGCTTCCTAGGTAGGCCCTGCTCTGAGTCCCACCACTGACTGAGATACCATGGCTGGACATTCAAAAGAAGGACCTTCTTGGTGACTGCACCCGTCTTCGTGAACTCTTCATCTCCAAGTATCCATTTGGTTCCTTTCTTATCGGCCAGTTTGGAAGATACATTACTATTTGAACATTCTTTTGACATGTATGGAAGTTGATGGTTGGATTAATTTTATTCTGATTATTTTTACCCCAGCTATCAGGGCCAAGATCTTGGGTTCCCTTCCTAGGTGGTTATGCTTGATTTTGCTCCTCCTGCTGCAGAATTGTGATTTCTTAAAATTATTTTTGTTTTTTGCTGATTGGTATTTTTTATATGTAAGTGTCTTGAAAATGTTTTTGTGAGAGGGAAAGAAATATATAGAACATGTTAGTTTGATTCATTATTAGTAGTCTCGAGAATTCATAGACAAGCTGAAAGTCCAATATGGTGGAGTGGTTAGAGTGTCAGCCCAGGAATGTACTCAGCCATAAAGCTAATTGGGTGACCCTGGACCACTCACTCAGCCTAAACTACCTCACAGGGTTGTTGTAAGGGTAAGAGTGGAAGGCAGTGGGGGAAGAATCATGCACAGTGCTTTGAAATCCATGGGATAGACATGTAAGTAAATAAACAAGCGAGCAAGCTGCTCCTTCAAAAACTGTGTGACAGATATTCAACAGCTCAAGCTCTTCCTGGTTTGGAGATGCAATGATGGGGAGAGCTTTACCTCTTGAAATCTACAACCATGTGATTATTCGCTTCATCCTGAGTCTTTTTCACCCAAAAGCAGTTGAATGTGGGTGCAGTCAGTGTGGGCTGAGTTGCAAACTATGATGCCGTCATCCCACTCATTCAGATCTGTTCAAATCATTTCCCCATCAAGCTGGTCTGCACACGTGAACCGGATCTATTCCTTCCAGTTTTCGTGTTGACATTTCCAAGCTGAGGAGGAAGACAAGGTGAACAAAAATTTAGCTATAAATCTGGATCCAGAGTTTGCACCCACAGTTTGAACAGTTCTGCCACAGGGACTGAGGCCAATAAAATTCAGAGTCTGGTCATGCGTCATGAAAAAGGAAAATGAGGGAAATAGATCTGGCATATCCCAGATCCCCTACAGAGATTAGCTGTCCCTACCCACTCAAGCAATCAGGAATGACGCAAAGGACAACTTAATAGAATCAGGACTATGGTCTTTTCTTGGGTCTGCACCCGCTAGAGAGATCCCCCTTTGTCTGCTGGGGGCTGTGTGCCTTTGGCTGCCCATCTGTGGGACCCCTGTCCCATCTGTTATGGCTGAGGAGACACAGGCTTCCCATTTGCTCCTGGGATGGCCTGGTCCCCCTGGTGGATCCTTCATGGACCCAGCTCCTTACGATCCAGGCAGGGCCCAGCTCGGGCTGCACGGGTGCCTGTAATTAAAGGCTCTAATCACAACCAGGCGCCCTCCCCTGCACACACATCTGCACGCAATTTAATGCTGGCGACGATGAAGCCACAAGGGACAGGAGTGTTTCTGGCACACTGTCCCGTCTGCAGCCCCCGCCTCTCTTTGGGCCCCAGCTTTGTCTGCCAAGAGGGGATAGTGTGGTGGGAGGGCTTGCTGCCATCTCACAGGAGCAGCAGCGGTTGTCAGACAATGAGCCAGAGAGCCCACTGTCCCTGCTGGGGAAGCTTCACAAGGCCGCCTAGGTCCTGGGTGCAGCATGTTTTCCTTCCTTTCTTGTTCCTCAGGAAATTGGCAATAATCTATTCCTGCAGGCCTGAGGAAGGGGAAGGAAGCCAGGATGGGGACCTGGATCAGATTTTATCTGCAGGGAATTTATTGGTTGGCTCAAATTGTTGACTTTGTGAGCCTGGGTTTGTCATTTGTAAAGGCGAAGATCCGATTGCTTCGCAAACTAAGCTAACGAGCAGCTTGCCCCTCCCATCTTTTGTTTTAGTACTGTAAAACTTTTCATTTTTATGGAGCATTTAATGCAAAATACTCTACAAGGTTCACTCTCATGACTCCGCCTCTGACAAAGGTCATCGATATTCCCATTGTGCAGATGAGATGGGAGAAACAAAGGCAGAGAGACAATGACTTGCTCAGACTTGCCTAATGAATTGTGAAATGAGGGAAGAATTGAACCCAGCACTTCTTCCGCCTGGTCCAGGTTCCTACCCATCAGAGTACACTTGTGCGCTGAAATCTATCTGGCTGTGGACTCCCGCCTAGCGCAACCTGCCTTCCTGCTGCACCCCACAAACCCAGGCCAAAGTAGTGTGGGGTTTTTGCCCCTCTCACAGGGCAAGGCTAGTCATGTTTACTCGGCAGTAAATCCAGCTGTGTTCAGGGATGTACCTATGATTACAGCTATAGTCAGTTTTGATATCATATTCAGAGGGAGAGGGAGAGAGAGAGAGTGTGTGTGTTGCATTGTCCTCCACAAAGGAAGCCGTATTTCACCACTGGTCCTAGAGATAATCCTAGGGTCAGTGTCATCAGAAACGGCCCTCCTCTCTTTGATGGATTTAGCTGTCAATAGTGAAAGAGAGTAATTTTCCAGAAGCCACTTCTTCCAAGACGCTTCCCGTACAATATCAGGATCAGCCCCGACCCATCTCCCCCCACACT